TCTTCTCCCGAGAGCAGCAATGCCTATCTGAGAAAATACAGGCAGAGTTTTGCTCAAATTCCTCCTGCCAGTCTCCTGCATACCCCACCATCAGAGAAAAGAGTCACCCCACACGAAGAACTCCAGAAAAAGGGATGACAAGCCACATGGAGGCCAGACTGGCATAAACCACAGACGACTTAAAAATTCAGGTGCTATCACTGCTCCTGCTAAATATGCTGGGCCTTTGGAGAGGCAAGGCAAGGACAGAGGTGAGCGCTCTCTGCCTCTTGTGTGTCTCAGCACAAACCCTTTCTAGGATGAGGGAGAGTCACCCAAGCGTGTTATAAGCACAGACCATGTTCCCTGCTCCCGGTAATAATTTCTGGCTGAGATAGCTTGCGGTCTGATTCAAAGTCCTCAGGAAATAAGACTCAAGCTTTTACCCATTGTATTGAACTGCAAAGGAGGCATTTGGGGCAGCAGAGGGTGAAAGCTTTGGCCTCCATTACTATTATTTTCTGTAATGGCAGGTAAGACAGACAAATCAATTTTTTCATTGCATATTTCAGCCCCGAGGAAACAAAGAGGAAGTGACAACCATCTTTTCAGAGAGACAAAGCCGCTTAATACAGAGCATGGCTCATTTTGACTTTTGTGGACCGATTTGAACGTGCTGAGTATATGTGGATGTTGCAAATATCATCTACAGCTGCAAAAACTGCTACCAGGGTCTCTGTTTCTTGTGGTCTTTTGGACGCAGGGTACTTGCTGGAGATGTGGGTGTTTTGCTATGGCTGCTGTGGGGTGCCGCCATCACGGCAAGGCTATTCCCTGTTAGGTAATGAGAACAGCAGCTCCCGAGAAACACAGCCCTTGTCCTTCCACACCAGATCAGCTTTCAGGCAACGGAGAGATAAATCAAGGAGCCTGTGATCTGAAGTTACATTAAACACAGGTCCTCTAAGAACGTGAACCATGCCACAGATAATTTCTTGTGTCAGTAATTGGTGGTAACAGGATATAGCTAAAATGGAGGACTTAGCTACCTATCAATACCTAACATGCTCTTTCGAACCACGGCTTATTCTTAAGCAACACTGCTTAAGCAGCAGTGCAAGGCTAAAATTGAGCTGTACCTCTTGCACACTCAAAGGTTTCCGCATCCCTTCACACGAAGAGGCTAGAAGGGAGGGTACAGCCAGCCGCCCCCTGCCAACCTCCCATGGAGAGAAGGGAGACATACCACCCCAACAGCCACAAACCATGGGTCGAGCACCCGAACGGACACCGGTCTGCCCAAGACAGACAGCCCTACGACTGAAGACAAGGTTTGTTCCTTATGGGTGCATACAGAATATGTCACGCAGTAAAAAGAAAATGGCAAATTTAAACACATGCAATGCTTCAGGTCTTTATTGTTGCTGTAGAGTAACTGGTACATGGTTAAAACATTCTAATATAATCAGTAAACTCTGAAAACTAAGGCTTTCTGTAGGTTTGTGGTATCCTGGTGTTTCCTTTTCACACAGTGTACATATAAAATCGAGTTATAAAAACACGGATCTTTTTTGAACAACAGAGATTGATGCAACGCACAAAACTAGGAACTACATTTCGTATGATCAAGACAACACCTTACATACCAGCTTCGGGCCTTGCAGCTTTGAACCCAAGACAGAAATGTCTTGGTCTGATGTCCTGCTACCCAGACAAGCTTGATGACAAACACAGATGGCAGGATTTCAACCTTCTGTTCTGAGCAAAGAGAAAGAAACCCCTGATGCTGATGAGGAAATGTTTGATTGAGCAAACAAGAGCAGTATCCCTAAAGTACGTCACCAATCTCAGATAACATAAGCAAGACCTAGCAAGACCTGTAGGTCCCATAGACAGAGCAGTCGCCACTGAACAGTGCGGCTGCTAGGACTACAGGAGAAGGTGAGCCGTGACAAATGTCCTAATGAGCGAGATGCGTCTCGGTGCCAATATGTGTCCCATGGAAGAGAGGTGTGCGTGATTCCTGGACTACTAGCACCTTTAACCTAACAGCGTTGAAAACGTTTCAAAGTGATCTCCCAGCATGTCTTAGTGTACTTCGAATAGGGAAAAAGGGTGAGTAGGAACAAAACAGTCTCCAAAAAACCTGTATAGTAGAACCTTTTGAGTAAAAAGCTACATTTTGACCAAAGAAGGAAAAAAAAAAAAAAAAAAAGCATTTACGGAAAGATCTTCCCCCACTTCCTTAACCACTTTTTAAACAAAGAAGCTTCGATATCCACAAAGCTTTTTATTCATTTTTTTTTTTCTGTCTTGCATTTCTAATTGAGCTGGAAAATGATGCACATAATCTGAAAATGTACATCAGTCACAAAGCCAACACCCTTCCCTGTGAAAGGAGGATTCGTCACTTACCATGTGCTGGCCCGCACCATGGAGTCAGGCACTGCAAATGTGACATTTGCAGCTGACAAGAAGATTATTCTTTCTCTTTGATCCGAACACATGAGAGAGGAGGATGAATTACAGATTTGAAGGATGTTTACCACATTACAGTAGGTTACGTGTTTGACTCCAGCTGGGAGAAAACCCCTTGTAAGGGTCAACGATTTCATTTGATTTCATTTTCAGAGCCCAACTCTAATCACACACAGACGTAAATCCTTCACCACTCCGAGACCAAGACTCACACTGATGTTTCTGATACATTTGATGACACCACAAAGTTCTCTGAACGACTGAGAAAAGTGTAGCTGGTATTTATGTCACCAACATATATAACCTGTCCTCTGAGGTCATTCCTGAAGACTATGTTAAGGCTATTGGAGTAGGCTGGCCATGGTTGCTCCTGGTGTGAAAGCACAGCCGTGGCTCAGGACAGACTAGAAGAAGCCTTTTAGGTCTCCTCTGCATTAACCATCAATGAGTTTTTTTCAGCTTTCCCTTGCTGTGAGTTACCTGGATGTGCAGGGAACTGCACCAAAGCAGAGTATTAGGTGAAGAAAAACCAGGCTATGTGGTTTTAAGCTGCAACCACACCTCTGATGTCAGAATTAGGTTAAAAAAAGTCCTCATAGGGCAGAAAGGACCTCCTTCCACTCGTGACAATGAAACACCAGACATCAGGTACTCAAATATAAATATGAAAAAATCATTAAGAAACATAACCCTAATATAAACCTAGTTTTATTTATTTTTAAGAAAAAAGGGATTAAAAAACTTAAGAGTAAAACAGATGGCTTCAAGTACTTTCCACGTAATAAACAATTAGCTATTATAAGCATAGATTAAAAAATACTTGTCACCTTGCAAGGGACAGTTGAATAGAGGCTGGTGATTTGTTCAAAAAATGGCCTTTGATACAAACACATTAGACAACATGTTTAGTGTTGTAATTTAGAAGAAAAAGATGTGTCTACCATGCCAACCCACTGCTCGAAACATTCAGCACAGTACAAGACACACTTTGCACTCTGTATTTTCACCTTTCATGGCAATGCCACTCAACACATGGAGCCAGGCCATCTCAGTTTAGCTCAAACAAGCCTTCATGCAATAACACAACAAATACTCACTAAGTCAGGAAGGTTTTGCAGCAATACAGTTGATCAAGTGGTCTAACATTTTTGAGGTTGAAAAACAAATCTAACCTGAAGTGTCTCCTAAGTGCTGGCAATGTTTATGTCTTTTACTATGTGAGTATGAACATTACTTGTATTATATATGACAAGGAATACACTTGGAAGTGCCTTGTCTAAGTTTAAGCCTTCAGATCTTCTGAGCGTCATGAAAATAAGGGAAAGTTTTATAGTGGGAGCCCCAAAATAACCCCCAAAAAACTGCAAAGGAGGTTGGAAAAGCAATCATGTCATCAGGCAATCAAAGAGAATACTTCAAAGGGAAGATGTAGCTGAATTTCCTTGTGCTGCGATAAGTCTGAAACCCATCTCTTGTACTTACAAGGAGACAACCATGGCTTCAGATGCATTTCAACAGGTCTGGCTGACACACAGAACAAGCAGTCTTCCTGCTTATCTATACACTTGAAATGCCTAAGGAAGCAATGTGAAAACCAAAATAAATGCTTCCAAAAAAAAAGGTATCTTGCCTACTCTGAAAAATAAATAAATTTTTTTCAATCAAATAATGTCTACAAGGAGACCTTTTTGAAAAACATTTGCCAGGTACTTGGAGACAGACATTTTTGTCTCTACCAGAAAAAAACCACCAATAAACCAACAGAAAACCAGCTCCCCTATCCCGCAGCTCGTATACTACAGTAGGTACAAGTCTCCCACAGCTAACAGGGAGACCAAAACAGTATGAAACAGTGAGAAATCAAAACTTAGCTGCATAGATCCATTAAATAATCAGTTAAGACTTAAATGGAGGCAGAGCTAGCGCTGTTTTCTGTACTACAACAGAAGACTGCAAGCCTTAAAAATCATTCTGAGTGACCGAGCCAGAATGGTTGAAAAGTGGTAGGGTCAGCAGTGTTTGGAAAAGCTTATGCAAAAATATTATTTTAAAATAAGTTTGAATATTTGAAGCAGAATAAAGAAACAGAGCAACTTCTCCAACTTCCACCTACCATCAAAACATCGTTAAACTTACCAGCTTTCCAAATCCGGTGCTTGCTTTACGACAACATGATTATACAGAAATCATACATCTGTCTCTCTTAGCTGGACAGTTTGGTTTTCTACATGAAAGTTCAGTGCATGTCACATTTATTAACGTCCTTACGATTGTTCAATAATCCAGCAATTTGTTTCTTAATTACAGCAGAATGCAGTTGATAGCTGCTTGCAAGAGCAATGTTGAAATTACATTCAGAGATAAAAACTACCGTTTTCACATGTAGCAATACCTAACATTTTTCTTTCTCTTCACAGAATCAAGTGCAAATGTCTAACAATGGCAATAGTAAAAGACAATTCTCATGCAAAATTCTTCCCTGTGCATAAAATTTGCAGGACATCTCCAAACCACCTGTTTTTATGTCTTTCTCTACCCCAGAACTAATTGTTTTTTATTTTCATATTGTGACATTTCTGTTGCTTTTTAAAACTTCGATGACAAGCGAGTTCAATTAGTTCCAGCCCACCAAATATCTTCTGCTGCACAACAAAAAAGACGATCATGGCTGCAAAATACCATCGTGCAAAGCTGTACAGGTACAGCAGTGCAAGCATACCCAGTGGGAACACCGTCCAATACAGGAGCGAGACGCACTTAACCACGAGGACCCTGAGCTCAGATTTACATGGTGGAATAATGCTTTGCCCTGTTGCACTGAAGCATTTTCCACCTTCATAGAAGTGTCGGAGTCTCTCCTCTTTCTCTTCCCAACGCTTCCGGCACCAAAGCTGCAGCTCCTCCTTTGAAGTGGGCACTGTCTCTATGGGATATCTCTGGATGTGGAAGTGAATCTCCTTTGGGAAGTTTCCATTCAAAAGGTGCTTCTCCGTCTGAGGAATGTTTTGGGGGTATGCCACAGTTATGTCATGGATAGCATCGAGACTGCCACCTACAAGAAAGGTTTAGGGAAAAAAAGATCAATACAGATCATGCAATGGTCAGAACACTAATTTGCTTCAAGGTGTAACTGAAAACTGTCCAAATTGTGGCAGAAATCCCAAAGATACTTTAGCTACGCAGAGTGTGTTTTATCTGCTAGAAACTCGAAAGGCTAAGAGGTCAGTCACACTTTTCCAAATCATTAGCTGTGCTGAATCTGAGCCAAAAATTTTGGGAACAAAATTATACAGAGTACAAACTAATGTAGAATTACAACACAGTGGCTAAGAGGATAAAGTCAAATTTAAAGGAGAGAAGATGCACATCTGGTCTTGGATAAAGAGCGGAGTATGTGAGATAAATCTGCAGTTATTCATCCCTGTGCTGCAAGCTGAAATTGCTTTTAACTAATGAAATACAACTTAGTGTATGTTCCCGTGAACACTGAAAAAAATTCAGTTTCATCTGGAGCAAGCAGCATACACAATCCTAATTTACTGAAAACATAATTGAGAAAACATACATGAAACATATACCAGTTAAATACCAGGAGCTCATTAAATCTAGGGTATCTCACAAAGCATGAGTAGTATCTCTGTAGCCCAGCCAGCTTTGCAGAGCACTCCAGTTAACACAATTTCTTTAAATCTGACCAGCCAGTGCTGTAAGGAGGTGAGCTGCTGCTTACTGCATTCCAGATCTGGTAAAGACAAAGTAGAGCATAAATGGTGGAGAAGCCCAGCTTTAAGTAAACCACATATACTTAGCTATTTGGGTAAAGTGAGTATAGTTAAATGTCTAAAAAGCAATTGCAGATTAGAATTTCAAGGGAATACTAATGAAAAAACCCCCTACTCTTCATTACCATGCCTGGTCAAGCCAATGGTCTTGAAAGGATATCAGTATTGCCAAAGTGGGGTTTGCTAGCACATCTCTGTACTAAGTGTTTTTACATTTTGCACTTTCTAAATACCCTCTTTATCCCTCGGCCTCTGACCAGACATTCTTTTTAGATTTCATAAAGTAAATTCTGCTAGTGTAAAGCTGATCTAAAAATAGGCGTATGGTGCACTGGATGTTGCATAACTGTTAAGTTCTGCCAGCAGTGATTTATCCTGCTGTTTTTATTTGGCTGGCTGGCTCGGGGCAAAATAGAATTGGAGACTAAAAGCTGTCTCCAGTTGCAGCGACAGAAGACTTTTGTTCTCATAGATGATGTCACTTGTTGCAAAGATGATCAAAAACTACTCTTTAGCCCTGCTCCCTCTTTTCATTTGCTTCCCTTTCCTGGCATTTTGGCTTTCCTTTACGGCTCCAAAAATGACAGGGACAGAATAGAAAGTTACTTTAAAAGGCCATGCTCAAAATGATATATCTACAGTTCAGCTCCAAATATTGCAAGAGGGGGAAAAAACCCTATTCAGCCTCTCAAGAGTGTTTTATAACTGTGCTGTCTTATAATGATCTCTCTCGGACAGTTTTGTAGCAGGTTACTTGGGTTTTTAAAGAGCTATATATGGCTCCTAGGAGGTCTGTCAGAGCAAAACTCAATACTCTAGCTTTTGTCTAGCTACAGGATCACATCCTATCTAAGCAGAGAATCACTGTATTCTGCACAGATAAAACCTTTCAGACCTCCAAGAGATGCCAAAATTGAATGTGTCTTAGAAACCCTGCCCTTACAAAGGGAAATGATGTCCAGCCTACTGCACCTTAGCACAAAGCATTTTTATTTTGAAAACAGCTCGCATTTTTCCTCCCCCTACTCCAAATATTTCTGCCATCAGCAGG